TCTGCCCTTTGTTGTAGATCTTTGCTGTAGATATAACCTTTACACGTACTGAAGTTCAGGTGCAGCTCTACAAAGTTTGGACTTATCCGGCTCTGTCTGGCTTGGGTCTGGCTGCTGTGCTCAGCTCCTTCCCATTGCTGCCCTTGAGGGTGAACCTTTTGTGCTCCTGTGGCAAGATGTTCTGCTCCTGGACTATCTAGGTGAATCTATCCTCTACACTCTCTGCAGGGATTGCAGCTGCAGAGTTACACCCCAGGCGTGTATGCCAGGTCTGAGCTGTGCCTGGAGCGGGCAAGGTAAAATAGGGGGAAGAGGACGCTCTCCCACACACTCACAGGACCTGGGCTAGGACTGGTCCCAGAACGCGGCAGAAATTCCTACTTGGCGGGCGGGGTGGGGGATGTACTGCGGAGTGGTGGGGGGCGTCCCAAGGGGGTGGGAGAGGGTCCATCCCTGGGCTGGGATTGGTCCCGCCGGCGCAGTGTAGCAGGAAGCTCTCCCACACACTCAGGGGACCTGGGCTAGGACTGGGTCTGGGGGTTCCCCGGAATGCGGCCTATCAGGTTATTTCTTACATTGAATGTTATTGCACTCTTTGAAAACACCCTTTTCTCCTTGAAATGTACTCTATTTTCCTTTCATTGCACTCGTGTTTTTTGGTTGGTTGGTTGGTTGGTTGGTTGGTTGGTTGGTTGGTATTGCATTGCTTGTTATTGAACTAGAATGTGTTCTATGAATGACACATGTCCCCTGCTATTGTTTTTTGTTTTTTTTTTCAAATGCTTCAGTTGTATATTTTATAACTTTTACATATGTCATTTTTATATGACAGTCACAGCTCCCACCTGGAGTTTCGCAACACTGTCCGCATGTTACCTTTTTTTTTTTAGAATATGCATGTTTTATTCTGAATAATTTTGCATAATAAAAACGAAAGTAGAAAATAATTAAGATGCCAAATACTTTAACAAGCTGAAGTAAATTAAAGAGAAAAAAAAACACAAATGCAATCCATTGCAATGTCTTTTTTTATAAAAGTTCGAAGTCACCCTTCCCTATTTCACTAATGGAAAGAACTGAAGGCCAAACTCTAAATTCTAATACCAAAATAACCTGTGTTTTCTTTTCTTTTCTTTTTCTTTTTTTTCTTTTCTTTTCAAAGTTTTATTGATAAACATATAGCAATGAGACAGTTTCAAATCAAATCGAAAGTACAGTTTCAACAAATAATACACTGCATATATTCTT